ATTTTGGATTTGTTTTTGAGGAAAACTCGGGCTGGGAAATCATCATCATTATTTTCACATCGTCGTTTTCGAAAAGCTCCGTTTACAAAATGCTTTCCTTCAACATTAAAAGGCAAAGCCGGCGTTTTCAAATTCCTCCGGTTTGAAGAGTGTTTGCGGAAAGCTCGTTTTCGTGACGAATTACTGTGGACGGTAACCGTAGAAACCCACATTAGCCATTTTTAAACCGCTGTTAAAAAAGAGTTTACGTCCGTTTTCTCTTGGTTTACGTGGTCCCATGCAAACTCTAATTCATCAGCATAGCTTTTGTTTTTTTTCTCTTTCGAGCCATAAACTCCTTGGACTCCAAAAAGACAAAAACAGATTGAAATGTTCTAAACACAAACAAAAGACTACAAGTCTTGCCTATTTAATCGGCAAATTACTCACGAGACGCGCTCATCAGAATAATAATAAAGTAAATCAGAACCGTAGAAAGGGAGGCAAAAAGGGAGTTTTATTGTTATATATATTTATGTTATAATCCCTAGGGTGCACACTGATTAAATGTAGTTTCTGAATAACAAGCATATGCGGAAACGAAAGTGACGAAATATACGAAGGGGTAACGATGAATCGGGTATCTTTCAGAGCGTTTGCACATAAAATAGGGAGCCTTAAAATTCCCAGCTTAAAATAACACTAAAATCAGTCGTACAGTAGTATCCCGGACTTGGAATGTTACTTGCATAATTACATGACTTTTGTGAACAAAAAAGCTCTTAAGTTTACTTACGCAAATTCCTTTGTTTCCAAATGAACTAGACGCTGGACCGCGTAAATTTTGATCTTATTTGTCAGTTGCACATGAGAAATAGAAACGAGAACTAAAGCAACATCAAATTTACAAACATGAGAAATTAAAGCAGAGCTGTATTTCGGAAAATCTACTGAGCGGCGAGGCTAGTTTCAAACTTAAACAACGAGTCCCGCTGGAATATTTACAACATCGACACACCTTGTTCATTTTGTTCCTAGTTTGTTCAAATTGTTTCAGTTTGACATAACTTCCTGTACAAGTTTTTCATAGTCCACGAATCCGCCCTTCACTTCGTGTAGGCCGACGATCACATCAGCTTGGGACTCGGTCAGCTTGTCTCCAAGCGCTGTCAACATCCGGCGTAGCTCCGCAGTCCTGATTCTTCCGTTGCCTTCACGGTCGAACATCTTGAGCGCCTCGATAAACTCCTCTGCGCTTCCAGCTTGCTTCTTAGCGAGAGGAACGTAAATGGGAAGAAATTCTTCGAAACTGATTCTGTCCTTGTTGGACTTGAGACTTTCTTTCACCTTTTCGATGTCTTGTTTGAGTGGATTCAATCCGAGCGACCTCAGAATGTCGGGTATTCGGGTTTTGTCGACTTTTCCATCCCCTATTTCGTCGAAAAGACTGAAAGCGTCCTTGAATTCTAGAATTTGCTCTTCCGATAGATCCGTCATCGTGCTTCTATCGCTGCTCGTGTTATGCTCAAGGACTACTATTTGTGGTATGTTACTGAATGCTGTCCAGGCCTTCACAAATTAATCATTACAGAGTTAATTATTACATGATTAGTTTTCGGCCTGTTCGCGGGCTCAATATTGACCCCACCCGACTCTTGTCTCTATTTTTGTCAACCAATCATGTCACATATTTCCTTTAATATCATTTAAAATTTTGTAACCGTTTTATCCATATCTACTTAGCTTCAGTGTAGCTCCTGAAGGTCTAACAAAAATATTGGGCATTAAAGTTACCCTTTTCAGCCGTCCGGTCAACCTTTCTATTGGTTTTATGCTTTATTTTACACTGCTGATCCTGATCTAAACCAAGATCCGTCTTCACTCCGCTGGTGTTTGTACAGGTGGTCCTTGCATTACACTTTACAGGGCTGGAGTTAGCCTGTTCCAGGCGCTCAGTAGTTGGGGACGAGCGAAAAAAAAAAGAGGGCAACCGAGAGAAAAAAAGAGGGGCGCTCGCCCACTCTTGGTCATTTTTTGTCGCTCGTCCCCAAACTGCCGAGAGCCTGGAACAGGCTAGACTTGAGTATACAGTATTTGCCTAAGAAGTCTCTTGATTTGCCTCATCAGCATAAACAAGAGAAAATGAGACCCATGGTCATGGTTTCTTGGCATAACATTAAGTGATTCAGTTTCTGATGGAGCTACAAAAATATCAGTTCTGACCATTGAAAAGGCAATGCACGATTAACTCTGCCAAGGGATTTTAGCCCGATGTACTGAACTTTTAAAAACGGGTTTAAAAACTCAAAAGTTTAATTTACAAAGAAAGTATGAGCTCAGTA